AACAGCCAGCCCAGCGACCCCGAGAATCAGTCGGACCTCCAGTTCTATCTGGTCCTTGCCTTGGCATTGATCTCATTCCTGTTCCTCTTGACTGTGACTCTCGTCATCATGCTGAAGCTCCGACAGTCAGGGAGCCCCAAATTCCTGCAGTGCTTTGCTCCCATCCCCCACTCGAACAACACACTCATTTTCCCCCCCAACTACGAGGAAGGGACCTTGCCGTACTCCTACCAGCTCTGCTTATCATCCGAGTCCCGGATCCATGAATTTGCCTTCCCAAAGCCCCCTGTTCCTACCACTGAGATTATTCCATGTAGCAATAAGTCTGATATGTTAATGATGACCAATGAAGACAATGCCCCAACTGCAGAGATGGATGAAGGTGAAGTGGTAAGTTTTCAGTCATTACGTACCTTATTTACCTGTGCACCTTTTTACGGAGAGTCTGTCTTTAAAATATGCAGTGTCATGAATGGCTGAGTCCATAATCTAGAGAGTGTATTCTTTTAGTCTGCTACTGCCACATGCAGTTCCAAGATCCCATGTACATCTCCTGATCTTGTCCTCCCTACATGTAGCTGAATCCCTGCGCAGAATGCACATCTGTGCATGTGCCCTGTGTCAATGCCAAGTTCCCCGGACATGTGTACCGGTCCATGCGGAGGCACTTGTTTGCGTGCACAGCCTGTTCAGCACTTCAGCTGAACTTGCAGATGAAGGTGTGAGTCTGATCCACAGGTACCCTGCAAGGCTAGTACTGTAAGGTTCTCCTTTTTCCTGGATCTGAAAGGCATTTTACCTTGCATGCAAATCCCTTCTGACAAGGCACTTGTCGATGCCCCAAGACAATGAGGATGAGCTCCCACTAATCAGGTTAAATCTCCTGACACACCATCCTCTCTCTGCTGCTGGGGAGTTCCTAAGCCCTTCTGTAATGTACTTCTGCCTTTGGCGCAGTGCTGGTTCAGGTGAGCCAGGGTGGTGTTTTTGTTTTCTCTACCTGAAACCTAGAAGGCAGAGAGCTTGGTTAAACACCATGAGATAACCAGAGAACACGAGAGCCAGCTTCTGTTGTTGCTGCAATGTGCTGCCATGCTGTCTCCAGCTCACGGTGACCCTGTGAATGAATGCCATCCAAAATGTTCCATCCTTGACCTCCCAGCTCGGCTCTTGGAAACTCACAGCTGTAGTTTCCTTTATGGAAACAATCCGCCTCATCTTTGGTCTTCCCTTTTGTCTTCCGCCTTTGGCTTTCCCTGGTATGATTTTCTTTCTCTGAGGAACCTTGACTTCTCATGAAGTACCCAAAGTACAGCAGCTTCTGTGTTGTCATTTTGGCTTCCAGGGAAAGTTCTTGCTTGGTTTGCTCTAGGACTTCCTTGTTCATCCTTCTGTTGGTCAAGGGTTTGCACAAAACTCTCCTATACCATGCTTGGGGTACAGCTTGAGGCTTAGGAACCATCAAAGAGGACAGATCATTCTTTCTCTGATATGTACTTTCAGAGCTGTATTTTTTGGTTCTGTTTTAAAAATATGAAAAACATGGGTTTGTTTTATCTCAGTGACATGTGTGATCCTAGAATGAGGACTAAAAAGAATTCTTCAAGAAGCTAAGCAAATAGACAAGAAGTTATTAGGGAGAAATTATTCATCAATGGTCAAACTTACATTAAAATTATGTATTTCAACTAGTCAAGGTTCTTCTCAGTATCCTGCCAGAGAAATGGATTCCCACACTAGTTCACCGTATCCATGTTGTATATCAGAGAACTGAAAGGATATTTGAACTGGGATTTTCCTTGTGCATAGTTCATGCCTTTGCCAAGACATGAATACATGTATTATGTTTGCCACAAAGCAATTTTTCAAATTCAGAAAAGAACCCATAAGAAGAAGGAAAGGCATGCAAAACTAATGTAGAATTGTTGCATAAAATCCATATAATGCATCACAAATCCTCATAAAAAATACTAAATCAGAAAAATCTGATCAATTAAATATGCACAAATACAACATGCATTAACACATAAAAGCAGCCATATGAAACTTGTACTGAAACCTAAAATTATATTGATCGGCAAATGCAAATGTGGCTACTAACCTTAGAATGTCAACCCTTCATCGCCACGACGTATGACGCAAGTTGCACATCCAGCTTACTCTAACAGCCGCTCCCTACTTTCCTCAGTGCGGGAGGCGCTTGACGGTGGCAGAGCCGCCATACTCGATGAGCCCCTTGCTTGGCACTGGCAAAAGGCAGGGATAGTTTTGTTTCACTGTTTTGGATTGTGGGTGGGGATGGAAATGCAAAAATATATGGGGAACAGATTTTAATCCTGGCTGCTAAGTAAGAGCTTTCCACAGATGCTGCTGCTTTATTTTCAAGTGTATAGATAAGTTCGAAAATCTCACCATTTCAGAAAAGGAAGGAACGGAAGAATGAAATACCGTGTGGCAAGTCGTGCAATGGCTCTTTCTGTGTTTCCTGCCTCTGGAGTGCTCTGACCCACTTATCCTCTCCAAGAAGTTAGGAAGAACTACCAAACACTGCGTGTCGTGAAGCGGTAGAGGAAAATAATTGAAGTTGGGAACTTGCGTAAGCAGGGCAAGATTCCTCCAGCCAGTGCTGGGTGACTCCTTTTCATCTGTCTTCACAGCAGAGGAAACAGAGCAGATCCCTGTGCGTAGTCTGAGGAATTCGGGCAGATAATAGCAGCAAAAGATGGAATTCTCAACCTTAACAAGTCACCCAGTCCAGATGGTGTCCATCTTAGAGTTTTCAAAGAAATCAAGCAGGAAACCTCTGGCCTTCTTACCAAAATATTTAACATGTCCCTAAAATTAGCCCTTGGGCCAGAGGATTGGAGAATGGCCAAAGTCATAACAATTTTTAAAATGGGATCCAGGGGATTTGAGAAATTACACACCAGTTAGACTCATAGTCATAGAATCATGGAATCATGGTCTAGTGGAGCGGGATGGGGCCGGAGAGTCATTGGGTCCAAATCCCCACTTAATACAGGACACTGAGTTAAACCATTCTTCTCAGATGGCTGCCCATCTGTGATAAACCCATCTTCTAGCTTAAAGCTCTTACTGCCCAAGCTTAGGAGGGCACTTGAACCTTCTGGAATGTGCAAAGCCATGCAAAAGCTGCAAAATAGCAAGTGCTCCTTAGATCTGTGAAAAAGACTGGGCAGAGGCACAGCCATTGGGGGACACCCAGCGGGACAGATTAGGACTCCATTGTGGCCAGGCCTGAGCCAGCCCTAAGGCTTTGTACCCCTGTGAGTAAGCATTTGGCATTCAGAAGTCATGACCATGCCATATCAAGACTATATAGCAGGTGGCGCAGTGGTTTAAACTGCTGGGCTGCTGGGCTGGTTGATTGAAAGGTCGCTGGTTCAAATCTGCACAACGGGGTGAGTTCCCGTTGCTCCGTCCCAGCTCCTGCCAACCTTGCAGTTCGAAAGCCTGCAAATGCAAGTAGATAAAAAGGTACCACTTCAGTGGGAAGATAACAGTGTTCCGTGCACTTTGGTGTTTAGTCATGTCAGCCACATGACCATGGAGACTGTCTGCAGACAAACGCTGTCTCCCTCGGCTAGGAAACGGAGATGAGCACCGCCCCCTAGAGTCAGACATGACTGAACCTTAATGTCAAGGGGAAACCTTTACCTTTACCTCTACCATCCTACCATTTTCAGCCCAGCTGAGTCCCCAGGCTCTGTTCTGCAGGTCGTGCATTTCCCAAGGTGTCCGTACACACGCAGCAATTGAGATCTCCAGAAAGGGCAGACATCCAAAACCAACTGAGTAGGCAATCACTGGAATCAAACAAGGTAAACTGCTTGAATGCTTTATTAAAGATACAATCAGTAAGCAAAGAGAGGGAAAAGCCCTGCTAGAAATAAATCAGCATGGCTTCCACAAGGGGAAGTCTTGCCTCACTAACCTATTGGATTTTTTTGAGAGTGTCAGTAAGCACCTAGACAGGGGAGATCCAGTAGACGTTGTTTGCTTGGACTTTCAAAAGGCTTTTGATAAAGTCCTTCACCAAAGGCTCCTGAGCAAACACCTTGCTCTTGTAGAAATCATAGATCGATTCCTCCCTCCAGCGTTTTGGCACTTAATGGGCAAGAGAGCATATGCCATTCAAAAGGAATGCAGAAAGCCCCTCCTTGGCAGCCCATCTGAGAAGTGGCACAGCGCCACCAGCCACCTCACAGACCCCCATCCAGGTGCTTCAGTCATGCCTTGCCACTCCCATGGGAGGGAGACTGGTGCTGCCAGCAAGTTGCAAGTCGGAAGAGTCACCAGACTGGAGGGCCAGATAGAAAGGGGAGCAATGTTGTATGCACTGCCCATGGGAATAGGGTGGACAAAGAACCCCCAGGCCAGTGGTGTGGGGGTAGCCCAGCCTGCAAACTGTGCCCAGAAAACAAATGCACTGTCAAGCAAAACTAGCAGAGTCCTTACTGGGATGGTAGAGCTAAGTGTGTGCTGTACCATTTCAGATGACATATACAAATTAAAATATTGTGTATAAAATATATTGAAATAGCATTAAAATATAATGTTAAATACATAAATATATGTCTATAAAATATAACTTTATAAATACATACTTTTAAAAATATCTATAATTTATAAAAATAGAATACCTTAGCATAGAAATCTAGAAGGCAGGGAATTTCTCCTAGTGAGGCTCGTAAGCAGGAGTGGGGAGGAAGGACAGGGGAAGCCTGAATGATTTCCCCAAGCAAAAAACGAGCAGTAGCCGCGGGAAGGTAGATTTCCCATTTGAAGACAAGGAGTTCTCCTGGTAGCACATGATGCTCTCCAGGGCTGGGGTGGCCCTGCAGTGCCCCTTCAGTATCCAGAACCAAGGTGAAGGTGGCAATGAGCATGCCTGGCCAGCAGATGACCCCTGCTTCGATCCCAGCATCCTCCAGGAGTGCCAGGAGGAGCCCGGATGAGCTGCTGCCAGTCAGGGTTGGCAGTCCTGGGCTTGATGGACCAAGGCCTGCCTCAGTCTAAGGCACTCACAGCATACCTGCCCAAAGCAGTGTGTTGAGGCTTCAGCACATCTGATCGGACAGGAGCACGGCGGCTCTGGGGAGCCTGTCTTTTGAGAAAATGACTCTCCTTCATCGAGGAGAGGTTTGTGTGCCGTAGAAGAAAGAAACAAATGGAGATCTTTGATTAGGTGAACAAGCTCTGAGTGTTTTCAGACCACAGCTGCAGCTACAGTGAAACTCTGTGGATCCAAAGGAGAAAGCACATCTTAATTGCAGAGGTAGACAGGAATACTGCATGTTCCAGGAAGGGAAGGGAAGGGAAGGGAAGGGAAGGGAAGGGAAGGGAAGGGAAGGGAAGAACGCAGCCAGGCCAGGATGCTGATTCATGTCATGTGCAGCTGAAGGCTGGCTGCAGATGCAATAGGAGCAATTTCACAGTCAGGACTCCAGTGCGTCTTTAGGTCTGGCGGGGTCACGGGGTTTCTGGGTGGTTTCCATGCGATGCTTGTGTGGTGCACTGGCCCAGTCCAAGCCAGAGTCATCTACGTGGGGCCAGAACGGGCCAGAGATCTCCAACTTCCCCTTATACTTTACAGCGTAATTGTTCCCATTCTGTCTTTGAGGGTTTCTGCTTCCTTCCTTCCTTCCTTCCTTTCGCTTTGGTTGTTCATTTTGTAAAAAGGAGAAAAAACATAACAGTAGTGGTGGGAAAACATGATGTAGTCTAGACTGATTGAAATTCAATGGAGGAGAAAGGGCACAATGCAAAAAACTCATCCTGTTCTTAGTTCTTATATTGAAGCAACAAGGCATGAATAGAAATTCACTATTAATCACACAAACGCACACAAAACCAAGAGTCAACACTTCTGGAATGAGATATTCTTCAAACAGTGCTTCCCCTCACATACCACACTACAATTAATTTCATTCGATTTTGTTTCGAATGGAAAACGAATGGGGAAGGAGCGCCTGCAGTTCCGCGTCTGAGCCTCACAGTGTCGCTCTTGGCCAAGGTGGGAGCCGCAGACAGGCGGGTGAAGGGGATCCACCGGCCGCTTCCCGCAGAGCGGCTGCTTCTCGAG